GCAAGACCCTGTCTCAAAATAAAAAGAATAAAAAAGGACTGGGGATATAGATCAGTGTGAGGACCTTGGGTTAAATCCCTAGTACTACACACACACACACACACACACACACACACACACACACACACCCACTTGCTTGGTGCTTTTGAGGCAGTAGAGGTTCCCTAAGGACACCCTGCTGCACTTAGCAAGCAAGAACCTGGGTTCAGGGCCAGCTGAGGGCCAAGAATAGCTGGGTACCTCTCTGGCACTCACCCGCCTGCCTGCAGTGGTGCCTTCACTGGGGTCAGACTGTCCCCCAGAGGAGGTACCGACGAGCGACAGTCCAGCCCACTGTGCTTCGTGGAGAGATCGCCGTTGATGAAGGGCAGGATTCCCAGGATGGCCACACCTTAACCAAGGTCCCATCACAGGTATTCTGACCACATGCTTTAAGATCTGCTTCTCAGTAGCAGGTCTGAAGTGTCTAAGGACACAGGCCCCTCCTCACGGTGGGGCTTCAGCCGTCACTCAGACCTTCAACAAATGCTGCTGGCACCTGCTTCCAGCCAGCAGTTTAGACACTCATTCAGCAAACAACTCTTATTATTATCATCACAGAGGTACTCGGGAGTGAACACAGTGCCTTCGTGCTGAGCTGCATCCCCAGCACTTTTTATTTTTTATTTTGAGACAGAGTCTTGCTAAGTTGCTTAGGCTGGGCTTGAACTTGTGATCCTCTTGCTTCACCTTCCCAGAGTCCTGAGATGACAGGTATGCATCACCATGCCAGCTTTGGTATTTGTTTTTTTTTAAGGACTGGAGTCTCATGACGCTGTCCAGGCTGGTCTTGAACTCCTGAGCTCTGTTTTTTTTTTTTTTTTAAACAGGGTCTCACTATGCAGTTCAGGCTGGACTTGACCTCATTGTGTAGCTCAGGCTGGCCTCAAACTCACGGTGATCCTCTTGCTTCAGCCTCCCGAGGGCTGGGATTACAGGCATGCACCACCACGCCCGGCCTCTCCTGAGCTCTCTGATCCTTGCAGCTCTTCCTCTGAGTCCAGGCATGTGCCCCTGCACCCAGCTGACAAGCACTTACTAGGTGTTTAGTCCGCTGGGTTCAGGGCACATGAGCAATGTGGCTCCTGCCCTCGTGGTATTTGCCTTCTAGTAGGGAGATCAGCAAAGGCACTCTGAGCAGCCGGCAAGTGCTACAAAAAATGAAAGTGATTAAAAAAGTGATAAGTGCTATAAAAAATAAAAATCTGGAGCTGGGTCGGAACATGCCTGGGGCGAGGGTCTGTTTCAGACAGGATCGCTAGGGAGACCTCTGAACTGAGACCTGAAGAAAGCGAAGGAAACCGTTACTGACCAGCCCACGTGGGAGAGCGAGGTAGATTGGGGCAGCAGCACCTGCAAAGGCCTTGAGGTTGTCTTGAGCCTGCCGAGTTTGTGAAACAGAAAGAACAGTGAGGCCGGAGCACGGTGCACAACAAGCAGTTCACAGGTAAAACTCTGGGAGAGAGGCAGACAGACAGATGGACAGGACGATAAGTACACTGCTACGAGGCCATAGAGAGACTTCGCCAAAGCATTGTGGGGGCTCAGAGGAAGGAAGGTCTGTCTGGGAAACGAAGAGGAATTTCCAGAGGAGCTGTGTTTGAACTTTGAGTCAAGTTCTCCATGTTGAAGTGAGAAAAAGCCTCTGGCAAGCAAAGGAGGGAGGCGTGGGGGGGTGAAGGGGGGAAAAGGGTGAAGGCGCAGGGCTTTGCTTGTCGGGGTGAGGTGTTTGGAGGTGCTCCTGAGGGCACTGGCGAGCCACAGTGAGCGTCATAGGAGGACAGGGCCAAGCTCAGCCCTGGGGGAAGGCAGGCAAACTCTGACTGGCTGCGAGAGTAGCCAGTAGATGAGAGAGCTTAGACTTAGGGAGGTCAAGTGCCCTGCTCAAAGTCACACAATACATCCATGGCAAAGCTGGGATTTGAAATCAGGCCCAGGGAGGGAGCGGCCCGCAGCGAAATGGTGTTTGGTGTTTCCGTGGTTCCAGGACGCAGCCAGCACTCCTGACCGCTCTTCTGGGCAGAGGTCCTCTGAGGCGCGGTCCTGGTGCCCTGTGAGTACACACAGCTGGCTGTGTCAGCACCCACCCCTTCGTCACTCGTGGTCACCCCATGCTGGGCTGTGACGCTTATCTAGATGGCTTGTTGATTTCTCATAGGGTTTCCTCATGACTCATTCCCTTCTTTCTCATAACCCAGGGACACAGTCAAGGCAGGGGGTAAGCTCTGTTCTTCATTGGATTTGCTTTTATTTTTGTTTTTGTTCTTTTGAGACAGGATCTCGCTATGTAGTCCAGGCTGGTCCCGAACTCATGGCCATTGTCCCGCCTCAGCCAGCCAAGTGCTGGGCTTATAGGCAAGGTGCCACCATTCCCGATTGTTCTTCACCTGGAGACACCTGGGACAGAGGGGCTGATGGTGTGAGGTCAGGTTCTGGAAGACAGCAGGTGCACAGGAAATGTAAGCTTCGTGTTGCTGGTTCCAGAGTTCTCACTTTAAGGTCAAAAGCAAATGGCCATGTTAATAGGATTTTGTAGCACGTATTGGCCAAGATATTATTATTATATTTTTTCGTACTGGGGACTGAATGGAGGGAGCCCTATACTACATACCTAGCGCTTTTAAATTTTTTTTTTTTTTAATTTTGAGAGAGGGTCTTGCTAAATTTTCCCTCTGATCCAGAACTTGACATCCTCCTGCCTTAGTCTTTTGAGTGGCTGGGATTTTAGGTGTGAGTGGGATAAAAAATATTCTTATTCAAGAATCTCCGTTTCATGGTATGGTGGTGCATGCCTGTAATCCCAGCACTCAGGAGGCTGAGGCAGTAGGATTGCTTCGAGTTCAAGGCCAGCCTGGGGGTGGGGCTGGCGATACAGCTCAGTGGCACAGTGCCTGCCTGGCAAGTGCAACATCCTGAGTTCAATTCTCGGTATCAAAAAATATAAAAAACAGCAAAACCAAAGGCCAGCCTGGACTACATAGTGAGACCCTGTCTTAAAAAAGAAAAGCAATCTGAGTCATAAATTCATTGACTTTTTGGGTTGGAAGAGGGTTTAAGACTTATTGGGTTCCCTTGGTTTCTGTGGATTGGGCCTCAGTTTTGCCAGCAGGTGCTGTCCTTCTGTCTGAAGTAGCAAGGGCTCTGGGGTGAACTGCCTCAGCTGAGTCACTGGGATGGGTGCAGGATGTTGGGGGAAGTTTGAAGGCCTCTTCCTTCTGAAATCTGCGGAGGAGCAGCCCTTCTTCTCTTTGTGTGGGGGACCCAAGGAGGGGTGATGAGGGCAAGGAGAGTGGGTGGCAGTGGCAGTGGGGAGGGCCTGCTTGGGGTACACGGGAGTTGCCAGCGCCTGGGTTCCTTGGTTTGCCATGGGGGTGTGGTGGAGACTTCCCGTAGGTTACAGAGAGGTGGCTGAGTGGTGCTGTACCCAGCTGTGCTTGCGTGGAGCAAGTGCATGTTGTGGCTAGATTCCCGGACACCGACTCTGAGGCTGGGATTTGAGTCCATTGTGATGGGGCAGATGATCCAGCACTCTGGGGTGGGGAGTGAGCAGAGAAGGGGGACAGCCAGGCAGGTGTGGCATCCAGCCAGCTGCCACGGTGGGTGCCTGGTCCATCCTGCCTGGAGCCCCGGAAGCCAGTGTGTAGCACAGGCCTCGGAACTGTCCCTGCCGCCGGGAGCGAGGAGGCTGGTTTATCATCAGCCCCCAGGGAGCCTCAGGTCTGGAACCCCCGGGCTCAGGGCAATCACCTCTTTGGAGAAGGATCCTGTGTCCCCAGTGGCCCAGTGATGGGGCTGTCACAGTCATGTGGGCTGGGACAGAGTCCCCTTCATTGAGATCAAGGAGACCAATGTCCGGACGTTCTGCTCTGTCTTCCAGGCCTCTTGGAGCCTCCCTCCTACCTTGTCTTGTGAGGCCCTAGGGAGCCTGGAGGGACCACCCAGACAAGAAGGGGATTGACCCTCTCACCTCCCTCATGAGGAGGGCTCAGACTCAGATTCAATAAGATGTGGAACAGCAGTGATAGATGCGTTGTGTGGGGAGCAAACTCTTACCCACTCTTCACCACAAGGCTCTTGTGGGAGCTGGCTGTGTTGGGAGCTTTGGCTGATGCTGGTGTGGGTGCCAGGCTCAGAGTTTGGTCCGGTATGGCCCGGCCCATCTCCTTGTAGACTGGGGAAGCCCCTTCCTGCTATCCCCAGGGCTGTAAGTGTTCTTCTGCCTGTTTGCATTGTGAAGTTGAGTAACACCTTTTCCCGAGATGCCTACCCACTCTCTTCTTGCAAGGGCCCTTGTGTCACTGCAGGACTCTAGACTCTGGGGTGGAACTGGATTGGGGAGCAGGGGCCTATTGTCTGTTCCAAACCACTTGGCGTCAAGGTGGCCAGGTGAGGGGGGCAATGGCAGCCATGCGCTGTCTGAATAGTAAGGGCCTTTGATGAAAAAGGCCTGATACCCCAGAAGCCAGGTAACAAATGATAATGACATCACCCACAGGTGACATTGTATACATACCACGTGGGAACTATGATTATCCCCATTTTACAGAAAAGGACACTGAGGGCCAGAGCACGGAAGACACATCAAGGAGGCATTGAGAGGCCAGGCCAGAACTCGGAGCCTACTTCATCTGTCCCACAACCACATGGGTCAGAGTGCTTGAACCACCAAGATCAACAAAATGTATGTCCCTTACCCAAAGGGCCAGCCCCTGATAGATGGTGTGGAAGCCGGTCCTGATGGCAGGTGAGAGGAACCGAGCTTCTTACTCCTCATACCTGAGGACGTGGCTAAGACTATGGAGTCGTCCTTGTGTGGCTTGATGGGACCCAGACACAGCTCAGAGAGTGCCCAGACCTGCTGAGAAGAGCCGGCAAGTGACCCAGGTGTAGCTCAGATGACCAGTCCCCAAGCCTGTCAGGGACAAATGACTCCCGTGCGGGGACAAAGCCACGCTCCAGACTGAAGGAGCCGCAGGCAAATGTTTATTAATTGCAGAGAGGAACGGCGCGCAGTGCTTGCTCCCACACTCTCAGCTGTGATCGGGCGGGTGCTGGGTGGCCACCATCCAAGTTGTCCCTGGGGAGCAGAGATTCCGGGTCTAGTAGAAGTCTAAATCTGGTGTCAGCATGAGGGTATCCTGGGATTGAAGGAGAAAAGTCATTTTTTAACTTCCTGCCTTGCTATGCATTATGCAGGTTTTGTCCTCCTCCACAAGGTGACCATTAGCTTTGGGGAGTCATGACATTGAACTCCTGCAGAATTCTTGGAAGGGGCAGAGGTCTGTGCAGTGCCCGGCAGTGGCCTGGGCACAGGTGTACTGTCTGTGCAGTGGGTGGATTTTGTAGGATTATTATTCCCAAGCCCAACCCACCACCAAAACTCCAGGAGGTTTTATAAAATGCAAATTCCTGGCTATATCTGTGGGGACCTACGCAGCTGAGGTTTTAACATTCCTGTTTTCTCTTTTCTTTGAAACCATGTGTAACATGAGGACCTTGCCCTATTAGATCTCTCATGATTTTATGGTGACCATTTACAAGCATCCAGCAAAGTTGAAGGAGACATGTAACAAACACCCTCTCTCCCTCAGCTTGGCTTCAGCTCACGTCTGTCCTGGTGTTCGTTCCTCCTGCTGGGGGTTAAGGCACATGATATCATAAGCTACGGCAAGGAAACCCATGTGCTGAAAGCCAAAAACAAAGGAACAGAGCAAACCTTAGGAACAGATGCAATGAGTGAGCTTAAATCTGTGCTTTTGTTTTTTTCCAGGATGAAACATCTCAGGAATTCGGTGATTCTAATTGACAGCTCTGGACACATGACTGGTAAGAGTCCAGAGTTTGGTCCAAAATGCTTCCGGAGCCTTAGGTTAGACACCATGTCATGGGAAGATGGTAGGCAAGTCATCTGTGGATTTTCTTTGGTGCTAATAATTCTGTTTTTAACATCTCTCTCTGTCTAGAGTAGAATCGAGCACCAAGAAGGCAGAGGTTCTGTCTGTCTGTCTCTCCGCTGCTGTGACTGTGTACAGCCGCAGTAAGGGGCCGTGGCTTGGCCAATTGCAACAGGCACCTTGCCGACGCTGGCTGACACAGAGGTTGGAGCCCAAAGTACAGGGTTATCAGGGTTATCAGTGCTGAGAACAACCCCCACCTCCACCACCCGCTGGGTGTGTGACTTTGGAAGGGGACTTGCTGCCACTGGGTATCGGTTTCACCATATGTAAACGGACATTACCCCGGGCCCCACTGCCTGGGGTGCGAGTGAAGATGAGCGAGTCGCAGGGGCACAGTGCCTGTGGGCTGTGGTTGTTGCTGGGGATAAAAATCTGCTCCAGCCCTTCTTCCCCAGCAGATGCCAAGCATTCATGGGATGTCTAGTGCATGCCAGGCCTTGCTGACAGCACTGAGACAGAGGCGTGAACAAGATGGACATGATTTCAATCCTCATGGAGCGGAGACCATTCAGCCACATAGTGGGTGTGTGTACCCTTTGGTCTACACACCCCGATGCCACCTCAGATCCTCGGCCTCTTTCCTCATCTTTCCTGGAATGTTAAACATCCCTGTCTCAGGGCCTTTGCACTTGCTGTCTGTCTCAACAGGACACTTCCCCCAGCTACCCACAGGCTCCATCCCTCACCTCTTCTGGTGTTGACTCAAGTGTCACCTCTTCAGAGAGATGGCTGTGACCACCCCATGTGTCACAATATTCCCCCTCATGTATCACACTCTTCTGGGCATGCTTTGTTTTCCTTCTCAGTCCTCACTGAGCTGGCTTAATATTCTACTTTCATGAGTTTGTGTATCTGCCCCTCCTGCTAGGATGTGGGTACTGGAAGTGGTGGGGTATTTTCTTTTCATTCATATCTGAGGCCTCAAGCACTCAGAGGCAGGCCTGGCACATGGTAGGCCTTCAAAAGAGACTTGGTGAATGAATGAATGAATGAATGAGTAGTAATGAGGAAAGTGGATGCATGTGCTGGCCCCAGCTGCAGCTAAGGAGGTGAGGCCTGAGAGGGGAAGAGACTCGCTCACACCCCACACTCCCCACATGTCCCCAGCACAGCTGGGCTGGGGTTGGTGGGAAGATGTCCTTCCCAGGTGGGGCAGGCGGGTTAGCCCACATACCACTCACCTGGGCTACAGACCAGCTAGCTGCCTCGTATCCCAAGGCCTTCACAATTGACACAGGTATCCCAGTTCTCAATTTGCCTGGAATAACAAATGTGGTCAGAGGTAGTGGCGGGGAAGGGCAGACCCCGAGGCCCTGGTGGGAAGCTGGATTTAGACTCTGCTTCAGCTCAGCTGTTTTCTGGCCCAGCCTCATCTCCCCACCTTTTGCCCTTGGCACCAGGCTCTGGCTGTCCCAAAGTGTACCCCTCACATTCTCTCACACTTTTGCTCAAGAACCATCACTGGCTCCCACAGTCCACAGCAGAGGTTTCTATACTTTGAGATTTCCCATGGTAGTAAAAAAAAATTTAAACGGTGTTGCTGGCACAGGTTACCAACTCTCCCCCACACTCTCAAACCAGGGCTTAGAGTAGTGCTACCTACGCTATAACCCTACTAATATGCCCACATACTAGAGCAATGGCTAGGAAAGGTCAGATGCAGACTGTGCTCAGCTCTTCTTCCCTTTACACACAAGGTCTGTGTGTGTTCTTGCCCTTTACACACAAGGTCTCTTTTTGGCCTCTGGGAAAGGCACTCATTTTCCCACTTCACAGATGGGAAGATTCAAGGCTCAGGAGGATTGGGTGGCTTGCCGCAGGCTAGGCAGCCAGCAAGAGAGAGCTGGGACGTGGCCCCAGGTCTGCCTGTGGCACCTCGAGTGTGCTCTAGGTGTGACTCTCCACTGTCTCCTTCCTGCGAGCTGCCCTGTGAGGCTGGGCTCTGCCTGGCCCGTCTGCAGGGCCTGGCACTGGCCAGTAAAGGAACTGGGCCTGGAGGTTGGAGATGGCAGTGGTCGCTTGAGTGAGTGACCAGAAACACTCCCTGGAGATAGTGGAGTTTGAGAGTCTGACCGGGATGTAGAAACCAAGTGAAGGGATGACCACGGAGGCAGAGAGGTAAAGCAAAGCCCTGGGGGAGTGGGGGCTGGGAGCAGAGGGACTCACTGTTCTGGTTTGGCAGCAGCTGAAGAGTGAGGATCCTGGTGATGACATCTTTCAGAAGTTCAGGCTGTGGGAAGAAGGGGAGCTGTCACTCTGGCTGAGTCCCAGGTCCTCCTGCCCTTATGGGCAGGCAGGGCTCATCCCCTTGGAGAGGGCAGCAGCTGAAATGATGGAATCCCAGGTACCTTTGGAGGTTAGAGCTATGAGGGGTCCCGGGGACCAGACAGACCCGAGTGAGGCACGAACTCAGGTGCTTGGGGACTCTAGGGGGGGCATTGGTTGCACTGGAGGACACCCCTCCTCAGAATTCAGCCACTCTTTTGCTTCCAAAGTGGGAGTTGCCTGAGCGTCTGACTTCCCAAGGGAGCCTCCTGGTCTACCCTGAAGTTCACACGGAAACCTCTTTGCTTTAAAATATTGGTGAGAAGAATTAATAAACAAAACATAACGACCAAAGAACACATGGCTAAAAAGATAGGTCAGCCAGTATTAGATCTCAGGTTCGCTCTGACTCAGACGGGTAAAGTGGGGGCCGGAAGAAAGAGGCTCCCTGGGTCACTGAGGCGGGCCTCTGCGGCCACAGCGGGACTGGGAATGGAGGAGATTTGTCTTCTAACACAGGGTCGAAGCTGCTGGAAGACAGCAGGTGTGGGTTTGTGTGCATCACTGTGTGTGTGTCTCGGCTGTGTCTGGACACAGCAGGTGTCTGAACATGTGGCCAGAAGGTCTGGCTGTGGCTGATCGCTAGAGGTCACAGCCAGGGGTCCCTGTGGCAATTTCCTCTGAAGCAAACCCTGGGCAATGTTTCTGTTTAAGATGGACCATTCCAGCCCATCCCTGCGCCCACAAGGGACAATCCGTTAATACTTACATTGAATATGCCAATGTCCGAGTTCATAAGTTGGATCCGATCAGAACTGCAACAGAAGACATACGGGAAAAGAGCCCTGTGGTGGTCCAGTCATCCATTCAACAGCTATTTACTGAGCACCTACTGTGTACCAGGTATAGCACAGGATCTTGCAATGCAGTGGTGAATTGAATAAAATCCTTGCCTCTTGGAGCTTATATTCTGTCTGGGTGAGGGCGCAAATAGTGGTCCAAAGAATGGACCTCCGCCAGGAATGTGGACTGGGGAGCCCAGGATCCTTGATTTCTAGCTCTGCTGTTCATTGCCAGGTAGGAATGTCAGCCCAGCAGGCCCCATAGACTGAGTTTTATATCCTGGCAAATAATTTATCCAAAAAACTCTGACACTGCCTGGGAAAATCCCAACACACCCCAGAGCCTGGTCTACCCTGGGAGGCTCCAGTCTGCCTCCCCTGAACTCACCCTGGGGTGGGGGTGGGCATGGGACAGAGAATCAGCAGGGTGCAGAAGGCATATCTGTGCTGGCCCGAAGGGGCTCGGTGTCTGAGGGTGACTGTCCCTGCCTGTCTTGGAGGTGTTCAGGACGGGCTGCCCAGGGCCGTGGGGCTGCTGCTGTGTGGGCCATTCCTGTGGCCAGGGTGCGCCTGCCCTGGGGCTGTGGGAGGCCACTGAGTTTCCTTCCCTGTCTCTGGCGTTCGGTCTTTAGGGGCAGGAGAGCCCAGGCAAAGTCACCTTCCTGCCCACCCTGGAGCAGTCCTCCCTCGATGATCACTCACTGGGTGTTTAAAGAAACCCATGCCTACAGCAGACCTCATTTTCACCAGCACATCTTCACAGTGATTCCATGTTTACCTGATGTCATTGAAGTTGAGTGTAAGACGATCATCATTATTGTCAAACTGCACTTCTGATGTGGCTTCCTGCAACGAGAAAAGCCTGGGCTCCAGTTCTTTGAAGTGGAGGTGTTGGTACAGGGTGAGGGCCGTGTGAGGAGGCTCTGGGGTCCAGCTGTCCTGGTCTGAATCTCAGACGCTGGCTGTGACCTTGGGGAAGGGTTTTCCCTCTCTGGGCCTCACTTTCTGCATCTTATAAGTGGGACAGTACCTGTACCCCACCCATGAAACACACTGTACATAGGCTTGCAGGGCAAGACGAGGACGACCATGCAGCGCATGTGTGGAGCCTGCCGTGTAGGGGGGTGCTCTAAGAACTGTATGTGACAGTGTTCAGGGACCTGGTATCCTGTGTGGTAGGTCTGGTCTGTCATTACCTGTCATGGACATGAGAAAGCTGAGGAAGAGGACCATGAGGCCCTGGGAAGTGTGAACTCTTGAGAGTGTGATGGGCAAGGCTGGCAGTTATACCTTGTCCCAAATATGGGCTCAGGGCAGGCATCAACCTGACCCCTGGCTGGTGTGACCCTGCGGGAGGAGTGCCAGGCTCAGCTCTAGGTCAGCAGCAGCTGGAGGACACCCTCGACCTGCAGGCTTGGACTTTCCATTGGCCATGGAGGGGTCACTAGGGAGTGAGGCTGGCCTGGGGGTCTAGGGGCAGAGGGCCCATCAACATAGGACGCCAGGGCACCAAGCCGAGTGCCTCCCGTTGCGTCGTGACTTCTGTGTCTCTGTGAGAGGCCCCTACACTGTGAGCTGTCCACGGCTCTCCCTGTGGCGAGGATGGCCACCCTGAGCCTCCTTCTCACCGCTAGTCCTGCCAGACCCCCTGTTAGTCCCTCCACCCCACACTCTGCCTTATCTCGTGTCTTCTCGGCCTGCTGCAGCGAGTGCAGAATGATGAAGGTTACGAAGGCTGGCCTGCTGGTCTCTACAGGACTTGTATGGTGCAGCCCGTGGGCCAGGAGTCCCCAGCCAGCCCTCAGCCGCTCTCTGCTCAGCCCTCCCTGCTCTGTCCTTAGAGCTGTCCCCTCTATGTCACCTTTACGAGAACCTTGTCCCAGGCTCTGCTTCTAGGGGCCTGCCCAGGACCCTTTCCTCGAGGCTTGTTTTGTGACCCCCACCCCATCCCTTCACCCACGGGTTTCTCCAGAGGGAAGCTCTGTGATCTGAGCTGTCAGAGCTCCTGAGAACACACAGGGAACCTCCCTGAGGTGACTTAATTCTGCGCGGACTTTAGGAGAGGACTCAGTGCTCCTGCTCTCTCAGTGTGGTCTGCGGGGAGCCAGCTCCTAGGGCCCACTCCTGTAAGCGTCCCAGTTGGGCTTTATGCATTCAGTCTTTCTTATCACACAGATTGATTCAGGGATGGGCACGTGACCCAAGCTCATGCACTGAGAGTGATTCCTGGGACTTTTGCTGGAGCTTTTGGAAAGAGAGGACCTTCCTGCCGGGACTGCAAATCAGATGGATATAAGTTCAAGGCAGCTTGGGGCATTCTTGTGAGCAGACAGTCTGAGGGTGCAGGTGGCACAGAGGAAAGAAAGCTGCCACAGAAGAGCAAGTAGAATGAAGATGATGATGCTAAAGCACCTGGATCCAGCTATTCCTGAAGCTAATGTCCTCTAGAGTTTTGAGCTATGTGATCTAATCAGTTCCCTTTTTGTGTGTGTGAGTTGAGATTTTCTGCCCAATGATTCCTGACCAATAAAGTCACAGGGTCAAAGTTAGGCCCCCAAAGCTTCCGACTTGATTTATAGACCCTCCCCACAGCTGGCCAGGTGCCAAGAGGGGTGGACAGTGACAGTGAAGGGCAGGCATGCTGCTGCCAGAGTCAGACAGTTGAACTCACAATGCCCAGGGTGAAGAGGGGGTGGAGGTCTCTTTCTGTGGCGAAAATATCCATGACGATTTCCTGGGCTGCCTTGGTGCTGCCGGGGGCCAGGTGGAGGTAGGGAACATCCTGAGTTACCATCTTCACTATCTGGGTGTTGTCCAGCCTATCTGCAACCTGGAAGGACATTAGGCTCACATGTGACCTCCCAAGTGCGTCACCTTGGCCACAGGCCTCCTGCTGCCCCTTGGAGTCTGGCCCCTGTCTCTGCCCGGCTTCTCACCTTCCCTCTGTGCCCCAGCCACACCATCCTTGGTACAGACCCTCTGGTGTCCCTGCAGGCAGCCTGTGGGCTCCTGCTCTGTCTGTCTGAAACACTCTCCCCTTTGGGGAAGCCTCCTGGTCTTTCGCCTCGGCAGGTGCCCAGTGATGCTCCAGCACTTGTCCTTTGTCACCACACTTGTAGTAAACAGCTGTTTGTATGATCACCCGATTCAAACTTCCCTGCTAGGCTGAAATCTAGGAGGGACTGGGCCTGGTCTGCTGTGGTCCCCAGCAGTGGAAGGGGAGTGGACGGTGCCACATGGGCTCTCTGCCCTGGAGACCGCTTTCCAGACTGCAGCAGTCACCCATCCCGCTGCAGGTGGCGGATGGAACCACCCACCTGTTTACTGATCTTCTCAAGGCTCAACTTCAGCTCCTGGGCCACATCTGGAAGCTGAAGGGAGGAAGCCAGAGCAGGTCAACCAGATGGGACAGGCGAGGCACATGTCTGTACCCCACTGCTGGAAACAAGGGCTCCTAGAACCCCTGGAAAGCTGGGTTCCCAGGGTCAGGCCGCATGTCTGTCACTGATGGAACAACAGCCGCTAGGCCAGGGACTGCGGGGCCCCATGGTGAACATCTGCTGTGGGTAGGGAGTGGCTGGGGACCTGCAGCTGCTCCCTGCTTCCAGGGATGGACAGAAGTGACTGCAGTTCTCACTGAAGCCGTGAATGTGGTTGGTGCCAAGCACTCCCCACTTTCTCACCATGCCAGCCCCTGGCCCTGTGTTCTAATCCCCAAGAGCTTGGAGTCTATTGTCTGCTGTCCTGAAGCCCTGCCATCTTCCCATAACTGTGAGCAGCGCTTTTCCCCTGGACCTTGGTTTCCCCCTCAGGTGCCCTGGAGGAGTGGCTGCTGGTGGGGGATGTGTGGGCTCCAGTCTGCCCAGCTGCGTTAGTAATGATTCTGAGGTTGCAGTGGCGCCAGGCTCAGGGGAAGGCAGGGCTCTGATCATATTTAGCTGTGTCTGCCATGGCTTGCACAGTGGCAGGCAGCCAGGTAATTGCTATCCCTGGACTGCTCAGTGTCTAAGGTACCCTTTGGCTCCCTAGGACTATGGGTGGAACAGAGGGCAGAAGCAGGGCCAGAGTGGAGTGTGACAGGGAGGTTTCCAGCTTCAGAGGCCATGTCATAGCCAGGGTCCATCACTGGAGGGATTTATCCTGAGGCCAACAGGGAGCCCTGCCCAGGAGCCGAGGGAGTCTTTGTCCCCTGCATTTAGCAGATGAGAAGCAGAGGCCGCTCTGTCCCAGCAAGGCTCACCACATAAAACAGCAGAATCACAAATTTTTCCGAAGGCAGCAAGGCAGCTACCACAGCATTCACCACGTCCTGCCGCACGACGAAGCTGAAAGGGGTGTTGCCCAGGTTGGGCACCATCAGGGTCATCTCTGAGCTGTTGAACCTTGTGGTCACCCGGCCCTTTGAGTCAAGCACCTTGGCCTGAGGAGACAAGGTGGAGAGTGGGTTCCTGCTGTAAGGCCACAGACCCCTCAGCCAGAGCCGGTGGACTGAATGTGTCCCCCATAGCTCATGTGATGGAAATGCAGTGCTGGGAGCCGGGTGGAGAGGTGGGGCCTTTCAGAGGTGGTTGTGATTTGTGGGTTAATGCTGTTACTTTGAGGGTGGGTCTGTTTGGAACTCAGCACCTTGCTGTGGCAGTGAGTTATGGCAGGTGCCTGGAAGAATCTCCTCCACCTGAATCTCAGATAATCTCTGATTTTCATTGCTTTTCAGTGTAGATAAGTTTTCTTTCAATGAGACAGGGTCTCTCTATGTTGCCCATGCTGGTCTTCAAGTTCTGAGTTCAAGTGATCCTCCTGCCTTAACATCCTTATTGGCTGTGACTACTGGTATGCACCACTGCACCTGAATTTCAATGTACACATCTTCGTTTTCATTTATATTTCAACTTCTCAGATACCTCAAACCCTTTAGATGAAGGGAAAATTCAAAACAGCAGCAAGATGGATGCAGATGTTTGGTGCCGCTGTTTCTGAGAGGATCCTGAGAGCTGGCCTGGGATTCATGCCACCCTGGTTCTGCTGGACCCCAGGGAGTCCAGCTCCAGCAAGGCTGTGCAGGACCACATTTTACAGAGTGTGAGGGCCTACACGGCCTCATTTTATTCTATCCCAAGTGGTCATTATTCTTTACAGACCAGGAAATGGAGGCTCAGAGAGGTGAGGAAACTGGCCCAGAGGTACACAGCTGGGGAGTCACATAGCTGGAGACAATCTTAGGTCTCTGTGGTCCTGAGTCTGTAGTACCACCCCGAGCTCTGTTGCAGTGTCACCAGTGCTTTGGGGATCTGCACGAGCGTGCCTCTGAGAAAGGCCCAGGGCCCGTGCACAGGCAGGGCTAGGGCTGGAGGACAGGGCCCTGGGTACTTTCTCTGTGTGGCCCTCAGGTCCCACCTGCAGGCTTTCCTCCCTCAGATTGGCCTGCAGGGGACAGGCTCAGTGTGATGACTTCTAAAGCAGCTTGTGTGCCCTGACTTGACCAGGGTCTTCCCTCGTTGTATCTGACCCCTGTCCCCTGGTGACACTCACCTCCAGGTTGAGCTGGATGACATTTTCCTCAATGGCAAGAGACAAAGGGTCAAACTCCAGGCCTCCAGGACTGAGGGGAATGGGCACTGCTCGGGCAAGAAAAAAGTTCTGTGAGGTTGGAGTACAGTGTGGATAGGTGGTTTGCCGCTGCTTCCAGCAGCTCAGTATTGCACCAGGGAGGGGAAGGAAGGAGGAGCCAGAGGGAAGAGCGCGATGCTGGTGGTATCAGCGAGCAGGATGTCGGTGAAGACCCCATCCCCACAGTGACCTTGCAGGTAGGTCCTATTATTACCCCTGCTGCACAGGTGGGGAAGCCGGGGCTCAGAGCAGTGAAGTGACTCGCTCTGGGTCACACTATGACCCGAACTGCTATTTATAACTCTCCATCTTCCCCGCAGACTGCAGCCAGGGTCTGGACCCCAGGTGTGCAGTCATTTGAGCAGCTGGTCTTCTGTGTTCACCGCAGGATTCCCCATTTGGCCGCCAGGTGGCAGTGGCGTCTCCCTGACCGTTAGGTGGAGACTTGCGGGAGAGGCGGGCAGGATGACGCTCTCGGACGCCTTCTTTCCCTGCCAGGAGCTCTGACTCTGATTCTGATCTTTATCTTTTTTTTTTTTTTCCCGGTACCGGGAATCGAACTTAGGACCTTGCACTTGCCAGGCAGGCGCTTGCACCACTGAGCTATATCCCCAGCCCCTGATTCTGATCTTGACCCTGACTCTGGGGAGCAGAGGAGCCAGATAAGACTTGGGTTTGAGCCCCACTGACTCTGGTTGGTCTCTTTCCGTCTCCGAATCTCTCTTTTCTATTTTGCCTTGCCAGAGCCTATGAGCACTCTACCGGGAGTGACGCCCCAGCCCCAGGTTCATTATCACACAAAGGAGGTGTGGTAAGTCCTGCTTTGTGGCCAGTTCCACCAGCCAGTCACAGCGAAATCTGAATCACACACACTTGGAACTGGGAACATCGGTTTCAAGCCTTGCCCTACTAGTAATTTCCTCTGTGAGCTAAGACAAATGACCCAACTGCTCAGAGCTTCAGTTTCCACCATGAGTGGAGGCACTGACTGCTGCTCCATGCACTGTCTGAGGAGTTGGTGAGCCAGTATATATAAAACAGCCAGGCCATGTCCTTCCATCTCTGCCGCTCTTGGGGAGGGAGAGATGACCCTCCTCCTGGGCACACGCATCTCCTCTCTTCCCTGTCCCCTTTTCCCTGTTAGCACACTGCGGCCCCTGTGCAGTATCATCCACCCACCCACCCATCCCTCTCTCCCATGATCCATCCCTCCACCTGCTCACTCAGCAAGTGTAGGCACTTCTCCATGCAGGCAGAGCTCCTGCTGTGTCTAGAATTTTCCTGTAAGCTTTTCATCCTCAGCAACCCTCCCGAGGGCAGGATGGATAAACCACATTTTCAGGGAAGGAAACTGAGGATAAGGAAGCAGGATGACTTTCCTAAAACCACGGAGCAAGTCAGCGGCAGGGCTGGGGTTTGAACTGGACTTATCTGGGCACCTGCTGGTCTCACGCGGAGCCTTGAACATACAAGATGCTCAGGAGGTCATGGTTTGGTGGATTTCCATTTGCTTGTCCTGGGCAGGGACCAACCTGTGCCATCCCACCTGCTACTGGGGCCAGGCTGCTGCTCAGGCTCCAGGGAGAGGCCTAGAGGCTTATTCTGTGTGGAGGGAAAGATGGGGTGGGAATCGAGCACCTACTCCTCGCCAGCCGCAGGAAGTCTGCATACATGTCGTCAAAGGCAGCCTTGATCACAGGACATAGCTGCAACAGTGCAAAGGAAGGGCTGTGTTAGAGAGGAGTTCACCCTGCCGCACCTGTGCCCACCTGCCCACCTAGCTGGAGTCCCACTGCTGTGCCCCAGGCCAACCAGGTGCTTGTCCTAGGGGTTGAGGACTCTGGGGTGTCCACTCCCCCAGTCATCTGACCCTAGGGTCCACTGCAGCCCTCAGGGCTGAGGGCTTTTGCTATGGTTTGTTCATCACTTTACCAACCCAGACCCAGGGGAGGATGGAGGAACTGGCTCAGAGACACAGCATGCACTGCCAAGGGACCATCTGCTGCTTGCAGGAAGGGTGCCCCTGGCATCCACTGCGTTTTCTCCCATCATGCCCCATCCTTCATCCTATAAGTGTCTCAACGCGGCTACACATTCGATACCCCAAGATAGTAGGGTTCCACCAGATCAGTTACATATTAGTTGCCTCCAAGTCTGGGGTATGACTAGACATAATTTTTAAAAGCCTTCTGACAGCTCTGAGATTCAGCCAGGGTTGGAGACCCACATATTTACATGAGAGAGGGCCTCCTAATTTCCCCCAAGGGCTTGCCTGTTCATCTCTCATATGTGCAGGGCCTCTTTCCCTGAAGCCAAATAAACCACTCATGTGAGCACTGTTTCTAGTCCAGAGACTCGCAGTGGGAAACCAGGATGATAAACAGAATGCCCCTTTACTTGGCTGTTCACCCTTAGAGAAAGATGTTACTCAAAGAGTGGTTTACAATTCCAGATTCTTGCTGTGTTTTCTAGAGAAAAATATATTTTATCTATTAAAATATGATGCCAGATAAACTATGATTTTCCTGGAGATAGGGAAAAAATTCATAGCTAGACCCTACCTTAAGCCATTCCTGCCTTTATGTGCACACATGTGTGTGTATGTGTGTGTGTGTGTGTTACTGGGGATTGAGCCTAGGGCTTTCATATTGACCTACATCCCCAGCCCTTTTTTTTCTTTTTTTGTCTTTTTGACACAGGGTCTTGCTATGCAGTTCAGGCTGGCCTTGAGCTCACTTTGTAGCCCAGGATGGTCTTAAACTCACAGTGATCCTCTTGCCTCAGCCTCCCGAGAGCGGGGATTACAGGTGTGTACCACCACGCCCAGCTAAGAAATTCCTGCTTTAAATAAAGTATAAAATTCTTTTTTTTTTTTCCCCTGGTACCGGGAATCAAACTCACGACCTTGCGCTTGCCAGGCAGGCACTATGCTGCTGAGCTAAATCCCTAGCCCCAAGAATAAAATTCTTGAAAAAAAATCTTATGTAAGAAAAACCCAATTTTAAGAAATTATTTACTTTCATGTTCCATTATAATTAAAAAACCGGGGCTGGGGATTTAGCTCAGTGGCACAGCGCCTGTCTGGCAAGGGTGAGGTGGTGAGTTCGATTCCTGGTACCAGAAAAAAACCCAAAACAAAACAAAAAAACCCTCTCTGGATATCTGCTTTTGCTAACAGTTAAGGATCTCACAGTTCTCACAATAACAAAGCACGGCCTTGACTTTACACTACCATTTATATTCATTCTTCCCCCTTGGCTCCTACCTCTTTCTCTTTTTCCTCACCCTTTTCCAAGGTACTGGAGAAAAGTACCTTGCAGCCTTATTAATCTTATAAAATCTCATTTGATCTGGGAGTGGTGGCACACGCCTGTAATCCTAGCCTAGGGCTTTCATATTGACCTACATCCCCAGCCCTTTCTTTTCTTTTTTCTTTTTGTCTTTTTTGACACAAGGTCTTGCTATGCAGAACTTGCTATGCAGTTCCTAGTGTTCAATTCCTCAGGAGGCTGAGGCAGGGGATTGCTGGGAGTTCGAGGCCAGCCTGGGCTACAAAGTGAGTTCAAGTCCTGTCTGAACTGCATAGCGAGACCCTGTCTCAAAAAGACAAATTAAAAAAAAGTCTCATTTGATCTTTCTTTTACTTTTTCTACTGAGAATCAAACCCAGTGCCTTCCTCATGGTAGGCAAGTGCTCTACCACTGAACTACACCCCTGGCCTCAGTTTTGCATTATTCCTTTACTTTTCTTTGACCTCTCTAATATATAGATATTTAGCCTATTACCATAATAGATCTTCTAGCCAGGTGTGATGGTGCACACTGGTATTCCCAGCAGCTTGGGGGGCTGAGGTAGGAGGAGCTCAAGGTCGTGGCACTTAGTGAGACTCTACCTTAAAAAACTGAAAAGTCTGGAGACATAGTTTAGGGCAAGGACCTTAGGTTCAAGCTCCAGGGCCCCAAATACTTTTTTTGTGTGACTCTTACATGTTGCTATTGAAGAAGCAGAAGTTGAAGCTCTTAACCCTGACAAAAGCAAACACATGCTTCTGCATTGTACGGTAGATGTATGATTTCACAAAGCGGAGGCAGAGGTTGCACTATCTTTTTCTTGGTGGCAAGAGATGGAAAGCAATTTGGAGCAAGACAGAAATCTCTGTTATTTTATTCTACTCTTATAAAATCCTACTGTTTCTATAAAATATTGTTTTAAATATTGCTACTGTTGGTTTAAAGTATTCTTAATAAAAAATCACAAGACTAGGATGAAAGGCTCCTTGGGGCGATTTAGCAAATGATTAAATATGATGCAGCTATTATAAGGACAGTGGCTATTATCCAATCACATAAAAACATAGAATCACATTTGATTTAAAGGCTGGCACAGAGTGTAGCCATGTTAAAATGTAAGTGCACAAGGATGACTATTGGAAGCTGAAATGCAAGTGACAAAGCAGCTGCTGGGCTAGGTAGAAGTATTATAGGTATTCTCCCCACATTATTTTAGTTGTTATATCAGCTTTTGAATAAAAAAGGCTTAGTATAAAAACTGTAGCCATTTGACAAGGTATTTCGACCACAGGAGGGAGGCCTGCTGTTGTGCGTGCATTGGAACTGTCAGTGTGGATGAATCCAACTTACAGCATAAGACGAGGTTCACCTGTGTTTACTGACTGGAAGGATAAATCCACCGGGACCTGATGCGTAGTGTGGGGAAGCTGAATGCTACAACCACCTGGACCAGTTGTTGAGGATCAGTTGTTAAATTTTCAGGAACTTCTCAGTTGGGTGCTAAACTTATACATTATTAAAAATTAAACTGTATGAACTTACAATGAACATGCAGTTACTAAAAACTTAAGTTCATTGCTTCTTAAATATTTTCCTCTATTCTCCTGTGATCTATTGCCCTTGAGGTTATATCTGTTGTGTCTGCTTAGCGGAAATACTGCACTGCAGGGTGCTCCACTGCCCAGTGCCATCACATTGGTAGTCTGAAGTTGGCCCTGGAGGGAGGAGTTATACCAGGGGGCTCAGCAAAATCTATAAATCAGGCTCCCTCCCCTTAGCCTTTCCAGAGACAGTTGCTAAGAATTTATCAGCACTTCAGTGGTCAAGGCCTCCTGGTGGACCTGGCAGTTCCATGACCTTGACCTCAACAGTCAACCTGGTCAGTGGTCCAATCCGTTGCTCTTAGCAGTCCTTTCACCCTTTGGCGAATGAAGTGTTCAATCCCAGCAGTGTTACACCCGCTGAGATACCCTCAGTAGCAGCCTGCAGTTCCACTCTACTCCCACAGGAGGCGCAGTCCTCCCAGGGCAGAATCACCCGGTCCGCTCACCTCTGTTTTCACCAGTTCCGGCAGGGCTGGCACCAGGAGGTTCATGACTTTTTTCGCTAGGGGGTTGACCAAGAAGGAGAGCCTTTGGGAGAGGAGTGAAGGAGATTAGGAAGGGTTGGAAAACATCACACATCAGGGAGGGAGGAACTTGCCCAAGGCCATGAAAACTGTTAGATGGGGCGGGAGAGTGGGGAGGGGACCCGGGCCACCCATAGACTGTGGCAGCGTTCTCAGGAGCAGTGCCCGGTGCCGCCTTTGGAAGTCTGTGCTGGAGTTCAGGTGATGGGAGATGGCGACTCTCTCCACCCTCCTGCTAAGGAGTTTTTGAGCCCTAGACATGGGACTAGTTTGGTCCCTGCCACACTGGTGCTTGACTGAATCTTCTGCTGCTGCCTGGAAGGTGTCGTCACCTGCACTTTCCAGATGAGGGAGGTGAGACACGGAGGTAACCTGCCCCACACCACTCAGATAGTATGGGAAATCTTTGGTTTTACCACAGCTCCACCAGAGCCTGCCTGGGTGGTTTGAGGCAGCCAAGGAAGAGCCCAGACAAGACTGAGGAGGGGTAGGCCCCCTGCTACTGTGGCCTCGCTGCTCTCCCGCGGTGAAGTGGGCGAGGTCATGGCCACCCCGCACTCACCTGTGGAGCAGGTGGATGCGCAGGCTGCTGCCGCTGCTGAAGCACTCGCTGAGGACGAGGCGGCTGGGCATGCTGTTGCTCCTCTCCACTCTCACCAAGGCTTGTGCTTCGGACTCCATCTGGAACTCCACGATGGTCTTGACCAGGGGCCTGCGGCGAAGGCACCGGCGGTGTGAGTGTGGGCCCGGAGCACGGCAGACAGGACTGCTGTGTCTGACTCCTGGCGCCCTCTCTTCTGTCTCCCGCTCCATCTCCTCTGCTGGTTACCCCTGTCCCCAGTTTCCATACTCCAGCTGTCCTGATCTCGCTCCTTCCCGCGTGTGATGGTTCCCAGCTTCTCACGTCGAGCATGTGCAGCCCTGAATTCTGGATGTCCCCCAAACCTGCTCGTCACATGGCTTTCTGGCCTGGTCGCTGGCCATTTCATGCTGGACTTGTGTAGGCACAAACCTTGCAGTCAGCGTTGGAAACTGCCCCCACCCCCATGCCCAGTTCACCAGTAATCCTGCTTCCAAACACACCCAGAGCCCCAGCACTGCTTTCCACCTTCCTGCCCAAAGCCCTGGTCTCGGCCATCATTGCCCTGCAGTACCTCTGGACACCTCCCTGCCTCTGCTGTTGCCCCTGTGCTGTTTTCTGCACATCTGGAGAGAGCCTTTACAAACGTTAAGCCTGGTCGTGCCCGTCCTCTGCTCAGGCCCTCCCTGGCTCCCACCTGTGTCACAGTCAAAGCTGAGTCCATACCTAGCTCACAGGTCTCAGCACAGTCTGGCCTTGGCTGCCTGCTGACCTCATCTGCCACCACCTTCCTCCTTCTTGCCCTCTCTTTGCCATTCTCAGAGCAAGGTAAGTACACTCCTGCCTCAGGGTTTTTGCACTTGCTCTTCTCTTTGCTTGGGACTTGTTTTCTCTGGAAATCTTCATGGTGGTGGTGGGGGTGAGTAGATAAACTCATGAGGTCTATTGTGCCCGACTGAGGAGATACTCACGTGTTGAGTCCGGCCACCATGTTCAGGGGGACCCTGACCAGCATCTCTTGGTAATAGGTTGAGGGTTGGACCTGCAGCTGGAGGATGCTAGCAGAGGTGACCCTCAGCCTGGATGGGATTTGAGAGAGATGAGAATCAGGCCTTGTGTTCGACTGAGTGCGGTCCCCAAGCCCACTCATGCTCTGTCTTTCCTGTGTTCCTTTCTCCAGCAGCTGGACCCCAAACCTGGCCACTGACTTCTCAGCATCATGGTTCCTCGGCTGTTAGGAGATGACTCTCAGGCCGATTCTGAAGACCCTCTGTGACCTGACCCTGACGACCTCTCCTGGCCATGGGTCAGAGCTCCAGCCATTCTGACCGACTCTCACCCTTCTAAGCCTTTGTTCATGTTGGTCCCTCTGCCTGGAATGGCATTTTCTTTGAATCTCTGCCTCAACTGTCCCTTCAACGGAGAAGTAACTCCTTGTTCCTTTACTCTTTTATTCCAGGTCACCTTCCCCTGGGGTTGCCCTCGTAGGGTTCGCCTGTCACTGTCTTATGGGCATTGTTAACTCCTCTGGGAGCTTTTCTAGGGACAAACTTAGTCTATGGCCATGGTGTCCAGGGAAGGAGCTGACATGGACTGATGTTTGTTGACTGACAACTGAGTACATGAAGCATGCTGGGGCAGAGGTGTGGGGCAGGAACTGGTGTTTCCTTGCCTCACTCACCAGATGATATATTTCAGGATGGTGTCCACCAGGCTGCTCAGCAGTGGGATCTCCCCACCAGCTGACCTCTTCCGCATAGCGCTGAGCAGCGGCAGCTGCTGCAGGATGGTGGCGACGTTGTGGTCCTCCAGCTTCTGCGTCAGCTCTGGAAGCAGATGTAGGGATTAGGGGCCAGTAGGAGGCACTAGAAGGATGGCTTGGTGGGTCTTCCAAGATGGGGGCTCCCCAGACCTGACATCAGGCAAGGGTGCAACCTCCCCCTCCCCCCATCTCCATGGTGTAGATGTGGCCTTGAGTACTGTGGCCCATTCGGCTCACTTTTACGCAAAGAGGGAGGCTCAGAGTCCTCCCAGCAACCAGTGCCAAAGCCTTCCAGAGCCGAGAGGCGGGGGACCCCCAAGGATCTGTTGGGGGCACTTTCACAGCCAAGGCACACTTGCTAACAGTTCGCCGGCCCCCACATCCTTTGGGCCCGCTGTTCCTAGCCTCGAGTGCTAGGCTGAGGGAGGAGGAGTCAGGAACAAGGGTCTCTGAGTCAGAAGCCTGGGGTTGGTCCCTGCCACACGGCCAGCAGCCGGAGCCCATTTGGTTGGTGTGTAAATGCCCCGGCTCCCTTAGCCCTCGGGCAGGGAGACTCAGCCGCAGGTCCCCACTGTGTTTCAGACTTCTGAGCTGCTGCTGTGTGGCTGTTTGCCTGCTCTGTGATCATGGAGCTGGGCCTTGTAAATATCTCTTTTTGCCAGTCAGCACGATGTGAGCTCTGCCTGTAGAGGCTCTGGAGGGACGTGGAGGAAGTCCTGGTGTGCTCCTTTGCCAGGCTCCCATGGTGTCACTGTCCAGTGGCGCAGGGCTGTGCATTAGCAGCACCCCCCAAGGGCACCAGGTGAGCTCTGTGGGGCCTGGCTAGCTTCTGGCCAAGGTCCCAGCAATGGCTTTCCAGTAGTTGTCAGCCACCCTTCCTCTAGGCAGCCTCCCGGGGAGGGCCACAGGCTCCTTGGCAGTGGCTGTCTGCCTTCGCCTTGACTTCCAGCTGCGGACCAGCTCTGGCCCATGACAGCTCATTGAATGGCCCATCTGTCCTCCCGTCCCCCATCCAGTACCCTGCAACCACACCCTTTCCAATTATGCCTGGGCAGGATTCTCTGCCTCTGAGTTGGCTTTGTCTTGGGCCCCCCCTTCATCCTGGGGTATCCTTTAGGCTTCTCTTTTGCCCTCTAAGCCCATGTCCCATTTCTTAATCCCCTGATGATTCCTTATATTGAACAGAACTGCTCAGATGGTGGTGTGGCTTCTGTCTCTTGCTTGGCCCTAACTCAAACATTGCTCGGCAGTCCCTGTGGTGGTCACTGGCTTGGACAGGCTCAAACTCCTTCTGCCTCAATGCCCTTGCTTAGGAGTCACAGTGTGGGCCCAGAGTGCCGCTGCTTCCCCACTGCCTCCCAGAGTTCTCTGCTTCACTTCTTGGGGACCCATCCTTTGGCTCTGCCTAGGTCCCTGGAACACAGAGGCCTGGTTCTCAGAGTCCTGCAGAGCTGACAACTTTCCTGGCTCAGAGGACCAGGCCTTGGAGCAGAGTTCCTAACCAGGGTGATTTCATCCCCTAGGGGACATGTGGCAATGTGTGGAGACACTTTTGACTATCACACTGGCTGGAATATGTGGCTGCACATCCTACAGTGCATGGGATAGCCCCTTGCCCAAGGTGATTCAGCCACAGTGGAGAATTGCTCAGGTGAGAACCCCTGCAGAGCTCAGCCGGTTCTGGCCTGTTCCTGTCCTGTTGGATGTGTCCACCAGGCCAAGAAGGCCCTTTTATTTGTTTTCAGGCAGGAAGCTGAGGCTCAGCGCTTTGGCCAGGGTCACAGAGCTGGGAAGTGACAAAGTTGTGTGTGAGACTCCTGGGCAGGGCTTTGCTCTGGCACTGGGAACAGGCTGGCCTCACACTCGAGGTGCTCTGATGTTGGGGTTTCAGTGTGGGCAGGGGTTTCAGTGTCACTGCGTGCGGTGGCCACACACCCCTTCTGCAGGCCACAGACCCCTGAGGACTGGTTTGTTGAAATCATGGGGTTTAAGTAGAAGGGATCTTGGTATCGTAGACTCTTGAGATTATAGACATCCTGAACTTTTGTAACTCATGTTCTCTTTTTCCACAGAAGTCCTGGGACCCAGCCATGCCTTGTTACCCACAGTGATGGGGAACTCCCTTCCTCTTTGGAGGGCTGTTCATCTGCCCCTTGTCAGGTGGTGATGCCTGGGGCGACTCAAACTTACGTTCCTTGATGACTTCTGGGCCAAGGCTGAGGACTGCAGGAGGGCTGAGGGTGGCTTCAGCCAAGGTGGCTGCCAGCAAGCCACAGAGGAGGCCAAGGGTCAAGGGGCCAACCATCGTTCCAGGTAGGTGTCAGTGAGCCGCAGGTGGCAGGTGGCAGATCCTGGGGTGAGCACAGAGGGCCCAGCTAGCTGGGAAGAGAGACCAGCAGGTTGGCCCACGGTGGCTGGATTTAGAGAAATGCTGTCCTGGGCCAGGGTAGGACGGTTGCAGGAAGAAGGAGGAGGACTCAGCAGGGACTCAGCATTGTGGGGCAGGCTTGTTGGCTTAGTCCCTGAAGGTGGAGGGGAAATATCATGGGCTTAGAAGTAGGAGGCTGCCTCTACCACTGTGACCCTGGACAAGTGACTTACCCTCTCTGAGCTTTAGTTTGCACTCTGTAAAAGGTGACCAGTTATAGTATGTAAATTACACTATAGGGCTGTTGGGAGTCAAAGCTGGAGGACGGAGGGGACAGCCTCCAGCCCGTTCCACTGCCCAGGAGCCCCCACCGCCACTCCGTATCCCCAGTACCTCGGCCTGTGTGCCTTTCATCACCCTACACCCTGCTCAGCCCTGGACAGGGGAGCTTGGGGGAACAAAGAGCCTCAAGGCATTGCCTCGCCAGGTCCCAGCCTGTGCATGCGCAGCTCTCAGTCTCTAGGCCTTTCTTGAGTACAACACACACTATGTCGGTCACACCGGGAGATCCTTGAGGGCCCGTGTGTCTGAGGTCACTCTCTGTCCTCGCTGTTCCCCAGTACAGGTTGCATACAGAGCAGCCATTGTGTGCAGAGTGAGTTTACGTCACTGGGATGGGATCTGCAACAGACTCAGCCTGCCCCAGCCCTTTATCACACTTTGGTCTTCAGGGTGAGGGAGCTGCCATGTCTCTGTCCCCGGCCCTGACCCTCCGAGGTCCCAGTGGTGGGAGGTTACCTGAGTGCTGTCCCCAGGTGTCCCCAGCAGAGTCTTCCAGGCAGCTGAGGCTTTTGGCCCCTCCCTACACTTTTACCTGGACACACCGGAGTCCTGGGCCGCTGCTCCCTGCCTGGGGAGTAGGTCTGGAGACCCGGCCTTATATCTAGGCAGCCGTCCTGTGCAGGTGGGTCAGGGCCTTGGGCCGGGCTGAGGTCTCCAAGGTAAATATTTGCAGCTCTTGGTGAACCAGAGCCCTTCCTGGAGGCAGCTCAGAGCTCCAGCTTCCTGAGGTTTGGAGAAGGAGGGTCCAGGCTGGTGGGAGGGGCGGGTGGGGCGCCAGGGTGCTGGGGTGTGTGGCAGGGCAGCTGGCCTGGGCACAGGGAGCCTTGGCTCTTGTGCAGTCATCCCCACGAGACAACGGTGAGACTGTGGTGGTGATGACGAATGGGTGCCTCCATCATGCAGGTGCCACCCCAGGCTTGGCCTTTGTATGTCCCCATGGAGGCCAGCCGGTTATCCTGACTTTACTGAAGTCAGCAAGTGGCAGAGCTAGGATTTGAAGCAGAACCCTGACTTGAGAACCCATTGGGAGATGTTTCCTCAGCTTGGTAGACATGGGTGTCGTAGGACAGACTGGGTTCAAGTCATGCCCCCACCATTTCCATACTGTGTGACTTGGGGCTCATTGCATCATCTCTCTGAACCTCAGCATTTCCATCTGTGAAATGAGACTCTGCTAGCACCTCTTCTGGAGTACTTGGAGAAACGCAGTGCATCCAGTGGAGCATGGGTCCCACACGGAGGAAACGCTCAGCAGCTGTGCATGGTCATGGCTGGGGTCACTGGGATTGCTTGCAGAAGGGTGAGCTTTGTGGAGAGACCATAACGGCTTAGTGCAGATAATTTCCTGAGTTACAGGAAGGAGTTGCCTGGCTCAGCCCTTATGCGTACACACATCCAAGGGAACACATCCCCATTACTTAATTCCCTTAAGAGAACAGGCTTGTATCCCGTTTCTGTCACTTCTTTTTTGTTGTTGTTGTTTTGTTGTTTTTTTCCGGCACCAGGAATCCAACTCACGACCTTGCGCTTGCCAGGCAGGTGCTGTGCCGCTGAGCTAAATCCCCAGCCCCTCTGTCACTTCTTTGTGTCCCTGGGCAAGGTGTTCTGTTTTCCTGAGACACCAGGGCTTCATTTTTTTTTTTTTTTTTTTTGTATACTGGAGATTGAATCCAAGGTTCTCACTGAGCTGCAGCCCCAGCCCTTTTTTATTTTTTTGTTTGGGGAGAGGGTCTTACTAAATCACTAAGTTGCCCAGGTTGGGCGCAAACTTGTGACTCTCTTGTCTCAGCCTCCCAGAGAGCTGGGATGACAGGTGTGTACCACCATGCCCCATGGCCTCATTTGTGGAATGGGGGTAGTGGCAGCGCCTCCTCTCGGACTGCCAGGAGCATGCGCTGAGGGGCAGGACCATGTGGTGCGGGGCTCAGTCTTTCATTCTTTCATCCCATAGTCCACGTTCATGAACGTAGTGAGCATGTGTGGAATAAACAAATATGAGGCATGGCCATGAACACGGGATAAACGCCCAGTCACCCCTGCTGGTGCAGAGGCCTCGCTTCCTGCACGTTATAGTCACCCAGACTGGGAGTCATGCTCTGCTTAGGGCATCTGAGGCTCAGAAAGGGCATGACTTTCTCAAGGTCCTGCAGCAGGGATGGCAGAGAGGGGACTTGAACTGGTCATCTCATGCAGACCACACACTCACACCCCCACACTATCCTTCCCCTGTGACCCTAGGACAGTGGTGGACCAGTGGTGATGCAAACACAGACCCTTGGCAGACTCTAGGGAATTGTCCATGTTGCTGGACTTTGCTCCAGATGCAAGGTGCTGTGTGTAGGGCTTGCGTGGCCGCTGTGGAGCCATCTCCCTCTGCAGGGGCCCGAGAGAGGCTGTGAGCATCCTGAGGTCGCACAGTGCGGCCTGGCTGGTCCCATCTTCTGGAGCTGCCAAGAGGAAGACGGCAAAAAGTTCTCACCAATCCTGCCTTGCTGCAGAAGCAGGAGTTGCAGAGCCAGCAGACTCCCCGGAAAGACCCTGCCTGTGCCTGGGGCACATCTCCAGAGAGGCCCAGGCCCCTGCCACAGCTCTCCGACTCGCCATGCCTGCTGCCCACAGACAATGCCCCTCTGTGGGGCACATGGGCCTGATGCCAGGCGAGCCTGCAGCAACCCTGGCTTCCTGTGCTTGGCGCTGCCCCACTAGCTGGCTCAAAGGGCGCTCATGTGCCTGCACAACCCTGGCACTTGAGCCCACGCACGTGGAGCCCGCACCTGCCCGCAGTGCCACAGTCTTCACCTGCTGGTGGCCTTTTGGTCTGAGGCTTATCTCTCCCAGGTCCAGGCTTTTTCTTGTGTGGTGTCCTCCTCCCGGACCCTCTCTCCTGCTCTCCCAGGGGTACGGGAATATCTCCATGAGGGTGCCAGCGGGCTCAGCTCAGGGCATTTCCTTGTCTAGAGAATGGAGGAAGACTGCTGTCCATGGAAGCTGGGGTTTGGGGAGAGAGTTCCGTATTAAGTCAAAGCTGGGTACCCAGACCCAGCAAGCAGGCAGAATGGAAAAGACCACCTTCTGCAGATCACTACACTGAGGCCCAGAGAGGAGAAAATACGGGTGTCATGACTCCCTTTCCCAGGTGAGGTAGGATCTGGAAGAAGGTTGATGACCTGCCCAAGTTCCTTCAATCCTCAAGCAGGGGGCAGGGTGTGGCCGAAGCTCTGCCCGACTTTAGAGCTGTGCTCTGAGTCTCTGGCCCAGCTGAGATGAGGGTGCATCCTTTTCTGGGAAAACTGGCCATGCAGAAAACCAGAGAGGACTTCTGAGGTCCTGGCAGGACTGGGCGGATGGAAACCAGGAAGACGCACCCACTGTTGCTGGCTCACAAGAAAGAAGGAAAGCAAGGGTTCAGGCCGCCTCTCCACAGGCCCAAGTCCTCAGTGTATAAAGGCTCTTTTTGGCCCAAGAGGCCCAGAAACGCATCACTCTGCGCCCATTCTAGTTGCCGGGGAGTGGCTGTTGAGGTCTACCAGGGTTGGCTCAGCAGAAGAGGGTGTGACGATGGATTTGCAATGTCTGCTGCAAGCATTCCGGTCACTAGGTCCTTGCTGCATCCCACCAGGGTCCCTGTTAAAAAGGATGGAGTCTCTTGGAAAATCTTGAAGAGATAATGGAGTTTGGAGAGACCCTCCTGGTGACTTGGTGTTCGCCACTGCCTCGGGGTTGACTTTGGATGAGTCAGTTCTTATCTCTGGCCTCTAAAATAAGGGTGCTGGGCTGTGGGTGGGGGTGGCTGGGCAGGTTCTGTTGACCTCAGACTCCTGCTCAGCAGCCACTGTGCAGGGGGTGGGCTGTGCCTATGGGCGCAGTGCGGCAGCACCCAACAGCCTCCCCACCCACGGTGGGACCAGCTTCGATGTTCGACAAAGGGGACTGTTAAACCTGGCTGCCAGGCAGCCAGCACAGAAGAATACAGAGAGGCCAGGCGAAGCAAGTGAAAAGGGAAACTATTCCCTCTACATTTTAACGCTTTTTCACCAAGAGAACATTCTGGAATAAAATGCACCAAAGGAACAATGCTTTTTTTTCTTTTTGGTGGGATCATTCCAGGTGACTTTTACCACCTTCTTGGTGTTGTTCAGAATTAAAAAAAATTTTACCCTGAATACATTCTTTTTGGATCAGCAAACATCCGCACTCAACGGCTTGAAAATGAGTCAACAGAGGTTGGGCACAGTTAGGGGAGGGGAAGACGCCTCACTCCTCCCCCGGGTCTGACCCGCAGCCCCCACCTGTGCGTGACCTCACTCCCGCCCCCCTCCCCCCGGGTTCTGGTGATGGCGTTGCTGATAGCAGCCACAAAGGCACAGTCACGTAGGTTCCGGAACCCCAGGGACAGAAAGAAAGAAATCAGTTCTGGAAACTCCTGGGCATAATCCCTCTTTTGTGAGACAGGGATAGATTAAATTCAATGCAAACAAACGGTGGCTGAGCTGGGCTCTGTTCTAGCTCTGCGTGGGGGACAAGGACTGGGGCCCTGCCCTTGTGGGGTGCACAGGTGCACTAAGGGATTTTAGAGGTGACCACAGGCAGTGGTCGGTGCTGTGACTTCCATCCACAGGGGTAGCCCTGAGTGGTGGGAGGTTAGCTAGGTGTAGCAAGTATACGACAAACGGAAGTGACTGCAGCAAGCTGGGAGAGTGACAGGCCAGCAGGGAGGTTGACACAGGGATAGTTATGAGGGCAGACCAGCAGAAGCAACCCCGGAGTGTGGGACCCCACAGACAAGTGTGTCCAATGGTAGCACACAGCAAGCACACATGTGGTGGGGTCAGCACCGAGACTGAGGTCAGCATGCCCTGTCTGTCTGACTTCTCCATGTCTCTGTCTCTTGCCTTTGATCTCTTCTCGCTGTCTCTCTGTCTTTCCTCTCTGTCTGTCATGGCCCTGTCTCCCTCTCTGTCTCTTCCTGTCACTCTTTCCCTCTGCCTCCTTCCTCTCCCTGACCATCTCTTGGTGCTGCCTCAGAGGCCCAAGGTGGAGCCATGAGTTCAGCCTCGTGACAGCAGCTTGCAGCTGACTTGGAGCAGGGCCTGCGGTGGGGACAGGACTCTTCCTGTGTGCATTTCTGTCATCCCTGCTGCTCTTGGTGTTGCTGCTGTTCAATGTTCCTCAATGGAAAGGGACAAACTTCAAACAGTGTATGAAGCCCTGCGTTGTGAGAACTGTCCTTAGGTGTGGCCACCTGTCCCTGGAAGTGTGTGGCCCCCATGTGTGTGTGGGGCATAGGAAAAGAGAGGGCCCCTGAGGTATAAGGGTCCCTTTGGGATGGGGTGTTACTGGACTAGGCCTCTGGGGTAACTGAGTCCCTCAAGTTTGGAGACTTAGTTTGGGAGTGCCCTGAAGTGTAGCCTCATCTCCCCTCTGATGGCCACTGTTGAAGACGGACTCTCATGGCAGCACCCCCATCCTCTCCAGGCCATGAGAGCAGGGGAGATCCCACCCCTGCAGCCTGAGCCCTTGATGAGGGCGTGTGTGGTCTTGGGGTCCATCTTCAATATTTCTCCCTAAGCTCGCTCAGTTAGTTTATTTATTTATTTATTTGTTTGTTTGTTTGTTTATTTATTTATTTATTTATTTATTTAGTCTTTTTGAGACAGGGTCTTGCTATGCAGTTCAGGCTGGCCTTGAACTCACTTTGTAGCCCAGGCTGGTCTTGAACTCACAACAATCCTCCTGCCTCAGTCTCCCGAGTGCTGGGATTGCAGGCATGAGCCACCATGCCCAGCATCGCTCAGTTTTTTAAAAAAAGTCAGGACCAGTGGGATGGAGATGCAGCCAGCCAGTGGGTGGCTAGATAGTCAACAGATGTGCCTTGCACCCCTCTGTGACACAGTTCTGGGTGCCTTGGACAGAGCAGGGAGCAAACAGAGCAGCCCCTGCCCTCCAGGGCTCATGCTACTCCAGAGAGACAGAGTGAGCTGGAAATTGACCCACTAGTCACAGAGCTCCAGTGTCGCAGGCATGAGGACACTGAACAAAAAAGAACACACATGGAGCCCTGGAGGGACACAGCACCATAAAGGCATGGGCGTTTATGAGGTCTCGGCCGCCCCCGGAGGGACATATGCACACTCACACACGTGCATACACGTGCACATGCATATGCACACATGCATACGTTCACACCCACATACACTCACACCTCCCATTATGACTCTCTCCCTGTTCAACTCTCACACACTTGGCTTGGCACACATTTTGGGGCTCATCATGCATGGAAGGGGCCACCGGAAGTACATAACAGATGGGCCCTTGCACATCTGCACTCTCACTGCTGCTAGGCTGAGCCTCGAGCCTGTAAGTTTATTATGATGATCTCCCGTGCACAGATGAAAAAATAAAGGCACAGCAAGGCCTGGGGACTTGCTGAAGGTCACACAGTTACCAGGACAAGAAGCCAGGATCTGAACTCAGTAGCCTGTGCACTCATCTTGCAGTCGGTGTCTTCTAAACCCTTGCTCTTTCCGTGCCACCCTCACCTGTCTGCTACATCGATCGCCTTTGCATTTTGCTGCATCTACCAGTTCCTGGGATTATGGCACACGTGGGGGTAAATGCAATCACATGTGAGAACTTAAGTTTGCTTTTCTGCTTCTACCAGGAAATGGTGTCTCACTCCTCAAAGTGAAAAGAAAGCATCAGTTTCTGTAAGTAGACAGTGACACAAGGGCCACAGTGATGCTGATAATGGTGTCACTCGGGCTTAGCGAGCACTCGCTGTGTGCCAGGTGCCTGTTTACTCCCTTTGGTTGCACCGTCTTCTTTACCCTCTCACTGATGCCTGGATCCGGACTCTGATGAGGTTTGTCTGAGCCCCTATGGAGAGAGGAGACAAACTTTCTCCAAAGTCTCAGTGACAGCAAACAGAAAGGTGTTGTTGAGCTCTGACTAGCAAACATTGCCTGCCCTTTCTTTGATTTTGGTTGGTTCTTTCTTTTCTTTCTTTCTTTCTTTCTTTCTTTCTTTCTTTCTTTCTTTCTTTCTGCTGAGCTACATCCCCAGCCTTTGCTCTCACTCTAAAAGGGAGAGCAGCAAGGGGAGCGGTGCTGGAGAGGCATCAGGCCCAGGCCCAGCCTTTTCCTGTGCTATCATCTAAAGGGCTGAGGGGGAGAGGAAGCAGACTGTGTGGTAGGCACGCTGTGTTCCTGAGGACCCAGCACCGTGGTACCCAGGGTGAATCCAGCACTGTGCATTGAGAGTCTCTTACCAGAGGGGCAGCCGTGTCCCGCAGGGGCTCCGATGAGGCACAACCTCTTCACACCTGTTCACACCTGTTCTGGATTCTTCTCCAACCTCTTCACACCTGTTCTGGATTCCATGTCCTCCCTGGACTGGGAATGCCTTGCCCTTTGCTTGTCTTGACTGTCCAGGGGTCAGCAGGGGACCCAGGGGAACCACGGGGCACCTCCCTTGTGGTCACCCTCCAGGGATTTGGTTCCTGTTTTAACACTGACTCAGCCCTGGTGACTCACTGGGTCATCCAGGAGGAAGAAAGAGGTAAGAGGTACTCAGCCCTCCACGTGGTGATGAAGGCCGCGCTGACGGGA